AATGGTGTGACACACCGGGGATGGGGGATTAATGGTGTGACACACCGGGGATGGGGGATCAATGGTGTGACACACAGGGGATGGGGGATCAATGGTGTGACACACCGGGGATGGGGGATTAATGGTGTGACACACCGGGGATGGGGGATTAATGGTGTGACACACCGGGGATGGGGGATCAATGGTGTGACACACCGGGGATGGGGGATCAATGGTGTGACACACCGGGGATGGGGGATCAATGGTGTGACACACCGGGGCTGGGGGATCAATGGTGTGACACACAGGGGATGGGGGATCAATGGTGTGACACACCGGGGATGGGGGATCAATGGTGTGACACACAGGGGATGGGGGATCAATGGTGTGACACACCGGGGATGGGGGATCAATGGTGTGACACACCGAGGATGGGGGATTAATGGTGTGACACACAGGGGATGGGGGATTAATGGTGTGACACACCGAGGATGGGGGATTAATGGTGTGACACACCGGGGATGGGGGATTAATGGTGTGACACAGCGGGGATGGGGGATTAATGGTGTGACACACCGGGGATGGGGGATTAATGGTGTGACACACCGGGGATGGGGGATTAATGGTGTGACACACCGGGGATGGGGGATCAATGGTGTGACACACAGGGGATGGGGGATCAATGGTGTGACACACCGGGGATGGGGGATCAATGGTGTGACACACCGGGGATGGGGGATCAATGGTGTGACACACTTAGGGATTAATGGTGTGACACACGGGGATAGAAGTTAATGGTGTGACACACACGGGGATGGGGATTAATGGTGTGACACACGAGGATGGGATTAATGGTGTGACACACACACGGGGATGGGGATTAATGGTGTGACACACGGGGGATGAAGTTAATGGTGTGACACACGGGGATAGGGGATTAATGGTGTGACACACGGGGATGGGATTAATGGTGTGACACACACGAGGATGGGATCAATGGTGTGACACACGAGGAGATGAGGATCCAATGGTGCTTGACACACAGGGGATGGGGAATCAATGGTGTGACACACGGGGATGAGGATCAATGGTGTGACACACCGGGGATGGGGGATTAATGGTGTGACACACCGGGGATGGGGGATTAATGGTGTGACACACCGGGGATGGGGGATTAATGGTGTGACACACCGGGGATGGGGGATTAATGGTGTGACACACCGGGGATGGGGGATTAATGGTGTGACACACCGGGGATGGGGGATCAATGGTGTGACACACCGGGGATGGGGGATCAATGGTGTGACACACCGGGGATGGGGGATTAATGGTGTGACACACCGGGGATGGGGGATTAATGGTGTGACACACCGGGGATGGGGGATTAATGGTGTGACACACCGGGGATGGGGGATTAATGGTGTGACACACAGGGGATGGGGGATTAATGGTGTGACACACCGGGGATGGGGGATTAATGGTGTGACACACAGGGGATGGGGGATTAATGGTGTGACACACCGGGGATGGGGGATTAATGGTGTGACACACCGGGGATGCGGGATTAATGGTGTGACACACCGGGGATAGGGCTGTTACTGGGGGTGACACATAGGGGATAGGCCAGGTTAATCAGGCTATACACTGGGGATGGGAGGTCAGGGCCGCCATCAGGGGGTGACAACCATAACGGTTGTCACGGGCCTCACATGTGGGGCACATCGGGTGGCCCACACACTTAGGGCCACCCGATGGGCCCTATATCTTAAAAAAAAAAAAAGCTGTGGTCATTTCCTCCCAGCTCACTCTGCGCGGGAGGAGTGCGCGCCGGTGAAAAGGGAGAGCCAGGCAGTGAAGAGGGAGCCGCGCAGACTCCCATCATCCCCAGCCACCCTCCTGCAAAGAAATGGTAAGAGACAGGAGGGTGGCTGCAAAATGAGCTGTGTGTGTGTGTCTGTATGCATGTCTGTCTGTCTGTATGCATGTATGTCTATGTATGTATGTGTATGTATATGTATGTATGTGTATGTATGTCTGTATGTGTAGGTATGTCTCTCTGTATGTATGTATGTATGTCTGTCTGTATGCATGCCTGTATGTCTGTATGTATGTCTGTCTGCATGCATGTCTGTCTGTCTGTCTGTATGCATGTATGTCTATGTATGTCTGCATGCATGTATGTCTGCATGTATGTCTGCATGCATGTATGTCTGTCTGTATGTATGTCTATGTATGTCTGTCTGTATGCATGCATGTCTATGTATGTATGTATGTGTATGTATGTATGTCTGTCTATGTCTGTCTGTATGTCTGTGTGTATGTCTATGTTTGTCTGTCTGACTGTATGCATGCATGTATGTCTATGCATGTCTATGGATGTCTGTCTGTATGTATGTCTATGTATGTATATATGTATGTCATTATATATGTATGTCTGTATGTCAGTATGAATGTATGTCTGCATTTCATTATGAACGTATGTTTGTTTGTATGTGTGTATGGATGTCTGTATGCATGTATGTCTGTCTGAATGTATGTATGTATGTCTGTATGCGATTATTAATGTATGTCTGTATGCCATTATGAATGTATGTGTGTATGGATGTCAGTATGTCTGTATGTATGTATGAATGTATGTGTGTGTGTATGTATGTATGTCGGTGTCTGTATGTATGTGTCTTTATGTCCTCATGCATGTGTGTCTGTATGTATGTTAGTATGTGTCTGTCTGTCACTATGTATGCCTGTGTGTATGTCTCAGTATGTGTGTGTCAGTATGTATGCCTGTATGCGTGTATGTCTGTTTCAGTATGTGTGTCTGTTAGTATGTATCTGTGTCCTTTTGTATCAGTGTGTGTGTTTGTGTCTGTGTGTGTATTCCTGTGGGCTGGTATTTGGAGGCGGACCCAGTGGGGGCGGCAGTTTGGAGGGGCCCCAAAATTTCTGGTGGCGGCCCTGGGGGGAGGGGGGGGTTAATGGTGTGACACACAGGGATGGGGGGTTAATCATGGTGATCCCCTGACTGTCACTCCACAATCCCACATCCTCTGTCACCCCATTAACCCCCCAATCCCCAGTGTGTCACCCGAACCAAAATTTTTCCCCATGCACAACCCTTGTGGATAGAGGCAGCTACTGCTGGAATTAAACCAAAGAACATTTCCAGTTCTTGGAGATCTGTATGCACAAGATGGATACAAATCTGGTGCCTCGCAGGGCTCCCATAGAGACGAGCAAAGAAAGACGAATTGTGAAGTTCTACTCTTAATGTACCTGCGTACATTTTAAATGTGTTTTTAACAGAATGTCTGAAAAAAGGGTAAAGATACACTATGACCTTTGCTATCTTGTTTCTTGTATATCCAGTATGGTTATATTTTGGATTTCAAGATTTTGAGATATTTCTAACCTACAGATTATGGAATTTTTGTTTTTAGTTGATTAGTATTAGATGTGTCTCTATGTATTTGTTCTTGGACAATTTTATATAGCATACTGTATATTTTTTTATGTTATTAGTGTATTTCACCCCATTGAAATAGGTTGCTTGTAATGAACCAAAAACACGTCAGGCAGCTTTTTTTTGTTTAATGTATGTTGGGACATTCTGCACAGGCACTTGTATAGTTTGTGGTGAGGAAGGTTGTACCAAGTTGCTAGCTTTGTCTCAAGGTGTAAGTCGGTAAAGTTGGTGGTTGGAGAGGTAGTGATGCTGTGGGTAACTCAGCGGCTGGTGGTTCATCTATTATTTGATTGTAGCTAAAGCTCTTTATATGATCCTATATAGGTATAGGATAAACAGGTTTTCTTTGAATACAGTGTCTCCTTCTACTCACGAGCTAATAATACTTTTTATTTTTTTTTATTTATTTTTTTGTAGAATGTTATTCTAGTTATTCACCAAACACAGTTCTTACAAACACATTTTATAACCTGTATCTGAGGGTCAGACTTTTGCTAGTGCACTTCTCATGTTTATTACAATTTTCATATATGATTTTCATATTGATTTTCCCAATCAAATTTACTTTCTAAATTTGTGGATTCCCTTAGGTATGCTTTTGTGTAGTATAGGGTGAAACCCTTGTTGGAGTTATTTAGTAACAATGAGACATCGCAGTTAGGTCTGCAGTTTATATATTTTATTCTCTTTGGTGATATAGACTGTTGGTTTCATTGTGGTTTCTATGAGGTAGTTCTCTCATGTCAAGGTTTCAGTTGTTTAGATTGATAATTGGGGGTGCCATATGGTCACTCTGATAGCCCCATTAACCTTACTTTATGCTTAGTTTTTTTATGTTTTATATGTCAGTCTTTTTTTTTTTTTTGTAAATGAGAAGCACAGCGCAGTTTCGGCTGATAGGCCCTGTTGCAGGTTATACTTGGATTATCTATATTTTGTAAAGAAGGATCTACACACACAGATCAGCCACAACATTAAAACCACTGGCAGGTGAAGTGAATAACATTTATTATATTCTTACTATGGCACCTTTCAATGTGTAGGATATTTTAGGCAGCAAGTGAACAGTCAGTTCCCGAATTTCAAGTGTTGGAAGCATTAAAAATGGGTATGTACAAAGACGACTGGGTCAGAGCATCTCCAAAACAGCAAGTCTTATGGGGTGTTCCTGATATGTAGTGGTTAGTATCTACCAAAACTGGTAAGAAGAAGGACAACCAGCAAACGCTCAGTGATGCACTTGGAGAGTGAAGGCTTGTCTGGTCTGATCACAAAGAAGAGCTACAGTAGCTCAAATTGCTTAAAAACGTAATGCTGTCCTTGAAAGAGAGGTGTCAGAACATACAGTACATCTCAGCTTGCTGAGCATGGATCGTGGAGTCAGTGTTATGCTCTTAGCAATGTTCTGCTGGGAAACCTTCGGTCCAGGCCTTCATGTGGATGTTACTTTGATACGTACTACCTACAAATAGATTGTGGCAGACAATGTACACCCCTTCATGGCATTGGTATTCCCTGATGGCAGTGGCCTCTTTGGGCAGGATAATGCACCCAGCCACACTGCAAACATTGTTCAAGAATGGTTTGAGGAACATGACAAAGAGTTCAAGGTGTTGCCTAGATCTCAATCCGATAAAGCATCTATTAAATGTGCTGGAACAACAAATCCGATCCATGGAGGCCCCCCCTCGCAACTTAAGGACTTAAAGGAACTGCTGCTAATGTCTTGGTGCCAGATACCACAGGACACATTCAGAGTTCTTGTTCAGTCCATTTGGCTGCACAAGAGGGACCTACACAAAGTGGATTTAATGTGGTTGATCAGTGTATATTATGGTCAAATGGCTTGAAAACATTTTGACAATAAAATACAGGGCACCATAACCACTACAATATGCTGTACTAGTTATTGTGCCTCAAATGTCATGAAAATAAAAGCTAGAAATAATTTCAGAACGCATACGGACAGATTGTTCAGTGGTTTTCAAGTTAATGGATAGTATTGGACAAATGCCAATAGTTTTCCATATGTTATTGTAAGGCAGTGCGAATTTTAATATGGAAAAGAGGAGGTCAATTCTGCTAAGACATGCTTATAAATGACCTGCTATGTTCTCCACAAAACCTGGAATTTCATCCCAAGGATTATTATTATTCTGTTCAGAAGGTTATGGCATGCTATTTTCTTCCTGGTGTGGTGAAGTAAAAGATGCACAAGGGTCGCTGTAAGAGAAAAAAAGGAGACAATTGGAGACAAGATCCACTAAACGAGGTAAAGGTAATAGACGTAAATTGATGTGATCCTGACAGTAATGCACACACATATATATATGCATGTATATTGATGTGTGTATTAGTAACATATAATTATGCCTATAATATTTACACATATAGTAATATACATTTATTTATGCATAATACACACATAAATGTCATTAAATATGTCATTTTATATATATATATATATATATATATATATATATATAATGAGCACGTATTGGCCCTGTCTTGTTGCTAGTTGCATACTCATGCACAATAACATATTCAAAGTGAAGAGCGCACCCATAGAACTTCAAAATAAACAAGATCACTTCATTTTTTAGTTGTGCAACTGCAGACATTCAGCATTTCAGTACCATTACTAAAATGTCCTTAATAGGCCAAAGTAGTTGTACTGAAATATTACATGCAAATGTACGTCTACTTAAAATAAAGGCGCTCTTTTGTTTATTTTGAAGCCCTATATGCGTTCCTTCGTTGGAGTAAGAGTTTTCAATTTCAAGTTATTTTTTCACCCTCTTTATCAGCACACTATGCTGGCGCGACGCATTATTGGGCTGGTATAGAATTTTTTTCCAGGGCTGATTTTAGGTCCCAGTCCGGCCCTGTGTTCTCCACAAAACCTGGAATTTCATCCCAAGGATTATTATTTTTCTGTTCAGAAGGTTATGGCATACTAGTTTCTTCCTGGTGTGGGAGTGTGTCTGCCTGCAGTAAAACCCACTAAACAGAGCACCATGGGAAAATTGAAAAGCAGTTTTCTTTGCATTATTTTATTCAATGCATCATCATTATGACCATTACCATATTCCACCTAATAACGTTTTGTCTGAGAGGGCTTTTTACTAAAGTGGGAATTCAAATTGCATTTCAAATTCAAAGGAACACTCTGGGAAAAAGGTTCGGGCATGCACGCTGCTGATTGGCTTAGAGTGGCCAGCTGACGCTCTAAATCAGTAGCTACCCATTTCTCAAAATGACTTGAAAGAGGTGCATACATTTTTAAAGCTATTTTTATGACATTGGAGCTCCTGCTGTTCACTCTAAGCCCATCAGCTGCACCCCTGTCTGTGCCTTCCATTCTGAAGAATTTTAGAAAGCTGAAGTACAGTGGAGCAGATGGATCTGGAGCTGGAGCACAGACTTTGGGCTTAAACCACTCGTGAACAGTTTGACCCCTATTGATAAAGAAGCACCTGGAACCTCACGGCATCCCAACAACTTTATTTAGATTAAGCTGTTAAGGTGCCTGGACAGGGCCAGATTAAGAGCGCAGTGGGCCTGGTGCTGACAATTATGAGGGGCCTAATTACATAATCTTGTTGACCAAACACACTAAAACAGTCCTACCTCCCAAGCGTCATGTATCTGATGGAGATGGTACTGTAGAGAAACTCATAGGATGCAGCTATGAGAAAACACATACCCTATGTTTATCTCACGCTTTCACCTTTCAAGTAAATCCATACCCTCTAACAGCAGTGTCCAGTAAAGCAGAAAGTCTATGGATGGGGTAAAAGGGTGGGCCACTGACACAAATCACATAACCAGAACTGCCGAAAGGGACGAACATACACAAAAAGGGGGCATTTCTGTGTCTCCATGTCTCCCAGTCCCTTAGTGTCTGTGTCCCCATGTATCCCAGTGTCCCCATGTCACTGCGACACTGGGGGACATTGAGAGACCTGGGGAAACTGAGAAACTAGGGAACACTGGGAGACGTGTGGACACTGGGTGACTTTGAGACACGAGGGGACACTGGGAGACATAGGGCACTGAGACAATGTGATACATAGGGCACCCTGTAATATATAGGGGACACTTGAGACTTGATAAAGACCTGGGTACAGGTGTCCAATAAACCTGCTTAAATCTATCACAGTGAGTGCCTGCTTTTATACTAGGGGACACTGAGATACTTGGGGGCACTGTGAGAAATGGGGACACTGGGAGACTAGGAATTCTGAGAGACTAGGGACACTGAGACACTAAGGACACTGAGAGACACCAGAGACACTGGGAGAGATGGGGCACTGAGACATCCTGATACATAGGGGACACTGTGATACATAGGGGACACTGGAGACTTAATAAAGACCTGGGTACAGGTCAAAACGTTGCGTTGTCCAATAAACCTGCTTAAATCTATCACAGTGAGTGCCTGAGATTTTTTCTTTTATACTAGGGGACATTGAGACACTAGGAGACTAGGGGACTTTGGGAGACTAGGAAACACTGAGACACTAGGGACACTGGCACACTACGGACATTGAGACCCCAGGGACACTAGGAGACATGGGGATACTGAGATATTAGGGATACTGGCTGGGAGACATGGGGATACTGGGAGTGCCCCTTGTCTCCCAGGTCTCAAAGTCTCCCAGTGTCTCCATGTGTCCCCATGTCTCCCAGTGTCCCGATGTCACTAGGACACATGGGGACACTGAGACACTGGGAGAGACATGGGGACACAGATACATGGGGACACTGAGAGACTAGGGGACTCTGGGAGACTAGGGACACTGAGAGACACCAGGGACACTGGGAGACACCAGGGACATTGGGAGACATGGGGACACTGAGTGACTAGGGGCCATTGAGAGACATGGGGCCACTGTGTCCCTAGTGTCTCAGGGTGCCCATGTTCCACAGTGTCCCTATGTCTCCCAGTGTCCCAATGTCTCAGCGTCCCCAAGTTTCTCACCGTCCCCATGTCTCACAGGTTCGGAGTTGCTGTCTGACCTCTCTGTGCAGAGCTGCTCCCCCACGGATCAGTGAGTAGAGAGAGGCAGATGTTGTAACTTCTTATTCCTGCCTCTCCACACAAACAGTGACCCCTACTGGCTGGTGCTGGTATTGCAGAAATACCTGTCAACCATAAGAAATACATGAGACATACCTGGCAACCCTAAGAGTAGTGAGTAAAAAGAAAAAAAAATGTTTTTTTTTTAAAAATCAATGGGCCTATTCCATGGGCCTGGGCCTGGAGCTGCAGCTCCATCAGCCCCTATGTTAATCCGGCCCTGTGCCTGGAGTGTTCCTTTAAGATCAGAGAAGCCAATCTGAGAGCATAGCTGACTTAAATTTGATGTTCACGTGGAAATCTAATTTAAAGGGACATTCCACTGCCTAAATACAATGAAATAAATACTATTTAGTAGATATACCCCAAAATGAAAACATGCATGCATTTAATTTTTTTTAAATATAATTGTGGGTCTAAAACAGCTTGCAAAAGATGCAGATCTTTCGAGAGCAGTCTCTGCAAGCCTTGCCCTTCTAACCCCACCCAGACTATCTGTGGCTGTCCAATCACAGACTTCCAAATGCTGCTAAATGATGAGTCTTTGCAAGGCAGGTGTTCAGAGTAATTGCTGCCTCTTGAGTTCAGTTCCACTGAGCTAACCAAACCAGGAAATAACAGAGCTGTTTGCTTGTTACGGCCAATGGCTGTCAAAATGCTAATTTCCATTGAAATCTGCACTTTTTGTAAAAGAGGACACCTACTTTACACATAAAGCGTTTGAATAAACGTGCAATTAACCAGTTCTAACATGGCCATATCCATATTACAGCTAATTTTATAACATGACAGAAGGCTTCGTATTTGCATTAACTTTCTTCACTAGCTCCACAGCAACAAAGAAAAAAAAACATTAAAGAAAGAACCAATCAGAGTAAAACAGAGGATATATAAGTCCCAGCGTAGCCAACCATTTCCTCTTTCTTTGCTGCTCCATCACAAGTCAGGTCAGAGTACTGATTTCTTTAAGATTCCTGTCAGGTTTCTTTAAAGTGTTATTGATGTATGTTTTGCTTTAATTGTACCTGGTTGTTTTTCTACTGTTTTATTTGCTGGTATTAGGGTATTGGGTGCCAGGGGGACCTAAGTGGGTCTACTCCCTCCTGTCAGGGGAGCTGTGGTTTTGCTGCCGCGAATGCATGTGTTGCGCGAACGGACAGTTTCCCGAATTTCTAAGGGAATTCAGTCCGTTCGCGGATCTGTTCCACACTTAGCATTCGGCGGTTTTAGCCAGGCGAACGGCCGTTCGCGGCTAAACTGCCGAACGCTTAAAGGGCTCCATTTTCGCGGGCTTTGCGCCCGTTAGTCTCGCGAGACCCGTGCGGCCATTTTGTGGGTAATTCGTTTCGTGGAGTGCAACACCTATCAGGAGAAGGCTCTAGCTCTAACAAGCTCGTTTCTCATACTGCTGAGGTGGAATTCGTTTGGGACCTTCACAGGTTGGTGTCATTGCCCCTGGGGAGTGGGACTGCCAGTAGGGTTTAACCCAATATCCTGGCTAGGGGTGAGCCCCCATTGAGTGCTGCATAGCGGGAACTGTTAAAGCAGTTCCCTGTGACCCTGGGTGAGCCCCAGCGATTAGGAGTCCA